CGGCCACCGCAGCCAACAAGTTCGGGACGAGACTGACAGCTCGCTTGCCCATTCGTCACCCGCGTACCTGCATATGCATGAGGGGGCGGGGCCGCGCCGCCGGTGGGGGGTGCGGGGGGGGTATCCCCGGCTTTAAAGGCGGCGAGGATGCCGCCTGGGCGCGAGGCGGCTGGACGCGGGGCTGCTCCTTCGCCCTTGTCCTCAACCTCGCCAGTGGAGGCAGCCGAGTGGCTGGGGTGGGGTAGCCTCCTGAGGTCGCCTCCACGCTTACCTCCCATCCGTGTGCCACTACCGCGCTGCTCCTGGTCCCAGCAGAGATGTCGCCTGCCAAGCAAGCCAGTGGTCGGACCCTGCTGCGCGCCACTTACCCCGGGACCCTTTGGCTCCACAGCCTCCTGCAGCTTCCACGCTCGCTGAAGGGGGCGCTGCTGCCCTCCGACGCCAGCCCTCCCCTCCAGGAGGCACGAGTGTTAAGCAACCAGCCCACAAATGCTTCTTGGTGTAGACGGTTTGCCAGGGTTTGCTGGTAACGCCCTCCAGGAACATCCAGGCCAGAGGTCCTGACTTGGCGGTCAAGATGCAGGAAGCACAGAGGGGGCTAGATGTGTGTACCTAGGGGATTGCCCTAGATGCACAGGGGATCCTCTGGCTGCTGGGTCCCCCTCAGCCCTCACGTCTGCCATCTACCTGGTGACCTCTACTCCCTGACAGGGTCAACACCAAAGGCTTTCTCCAACCGCTGCCCTGCCCTGGGCAGGGCCCCTTCCAGGACCAGTGTTGCCTTGGTGGTTGCAAATCCCAGTACTAGTTGAGGACTTCTGGCCCACCCTCCCCGTAGCTGGGCAAACCCCCCCATTTGCTCCACCCTGGGCTTAAGGTACACAGTGCAGTCAGAATCTGAATCTTGAGCCTGCCTGGCACCCTGGCAGAGGCAACTGATACCTGGGAAAGCCCTGCGCCAGTTCCCTGCACCCAGGATCAGGCTTGGGACAAAGGAAACCCTGAAGAGGTGGGCCAGGTTCCCCAATACCCAAACTGTTGGCTCTGCCCCATGTTCCCACCCCACCTGGTCTAGTTAGGCTGAGTAGGGCAGGACACAGCCACACCAGGCCTCACAGTGACACTTCCTATAAAGGAGTGAACTGTGTGCTACTCCTTGCAGTAGGGGGCTCCCTGTGAACAAAGCCCCTTCCCACTCTACGTGGAGGGAGTACTTAGTGATATAGTCCACAAATCCTCAGGCTGAGGAGGCAAGCAAAACCAGGCAGTAGGAATCCGATGTGCCCTTAAGGGTAGGTAAGGCCACCAGGTGAGGAGTGGGAATATGTGCCAAAGCCCTGGGGTGAAGGAAACCAACATGGCAATGACACAGTGACCAGGACAGGTCTGTGGTGAGACTGAGGCTTCCTGACAGGAAGTCAGAGGGCTGTTGAGCTGCCCAAGGTGGTGATTCTGATCTGGACCCCTGCTTTGAGTAGACAGGCACTCCCACAGGGTAGGGGAGAGGAACCTGGCGTGCACGGCTGAGAAGGGGATCCCAACATGAGCAAGACCTAGTCCAGGCAGCCCCCAGCCCTCCTTTGCCACCCCCAGATTCCTACTGCTGGCCAGCTCACACAGGTGGGTGTTGACATGGGTCCTGCTTGGAACCATGACTACATACAAATGCCCCTGGGTGAGCACTTCTGTCTCATGTGAAGCTGGTCTGGCAGGGTTCTGATGCCTTCTGCCTCCCTCCCAGCCCTTTGGGAAAGAGACCTGGGCCTTGTGCCTCAGTCAGCACAAGGGGTCAGTTCCCACCTCTGCCAAGGAGGCCACCTGCCCCTCTAGTACCCTTTCCCCTGGCCTCCTGGGGGTCGTAGCCTAGATCAGATCTGTCCAGGGGCAACTCCAGGCCTGGAAGGTAGCTACCCTGCTCACAGGGAAGAACTAGGTATCAGATGGGACCCCTCCCTCCTGCAGTCCCCTCTATAGCTCTCCAGACAGAAAAGCCAGGGACTGCTGGACCTGTGGGGCTTTCCAGGATGGTGGTGGGAACCACTAGCCCCACAGCTCTATGTCTCACCTAGCTGGGTTCATGGTTTAGGGGATATCCAGCCCCTTCCCTTGCTGGGCCAGGACATCCAGCCTCTTTATCTTTACCCTGACACCCCCCCTCTCCCAGCACAGCACCCCTCAGGCTCCTAGCTCTGTCCTTCTCTGCTGGGGGCCTCATGTGTTCTGAGTATGGCTCAGCTTGTATTAGATGGCATGTAGAGGGGGCCACTCCACCTGATCTCGGGCTGCAGGAGTGCAGGCCCCTCCTGTGGACCAGGCAGCTAAGACTGGGGCAGAGCTGGCCCGGCTCAGGAGTGAGCTGTGCTTCCGCTTGTGTCCTGCAGTGCTAAATATAGCAGCCAAGGAGGGGAGTTTCCGGTTACAGCCCCCCCACCCTGTCGGGAAATCGATGCCAGCTCCATTAGCCCCGCATGGTGCCTGCTGACTGCCCATCAGACTGCAGAGCCAGCAGGGGCTGGACTGCACTTAGCCCAGGTCCCCTATCCTTACCTCTGCTCACCCACCACCCACCCATGCTCCTCCACAGCAGCAGGTAGCACCTGCCTGTCACCCCACGATGCCATAGAGCCCCCCTATCAGGCAGGCTTCCGATGAAGGCAGCAAGTGGTCCCTGTCTTGGAAGTCTGTTCTGCTGGGGCTGCTCCAGGCAGGGACACATCCATCACTTTGCACAGCCCTTTGGATACACACACACACACCTGCCTAGGTGCCCCTCCTCCAGCCCTGTCCCTGCCTAGCTTGGATCCTACAAGGCCCACCAAGGTCACAGCCAGTATTTGTATACAGGTGCTGCCCAGAGGATTCCTGCCCAGTCCAGGCCACCCAGGGGCCAGAAGCATGGTTCCCAGAGTTCCCAAGCTGCTTCCCAGACCCAGGCTGCCCATTCCACGCCCCCAGCATTGCCCAAGGAATTGGCCAGAGCTGAGGCTCTGGGCAAGGACCACCAGACAGGTAGCCACCCTCAGAAATGGTCAGCCTCAATCTTTTGGAAGCTATCAATTCAAATCCAAATGGAGGGCTGGGCAAATAGCTCAGGGGATTAGAGTGCCTGCTTCCAATGCCTGCTGTGCCAGCCCTCACCCCCCCCCCCACCCTCAGCAAGACTGGGCGTGGTGGCGCACGCCTGTAAACCCAGCACTTGGGAGGCTACAAACAGGAGGATCACTACGAGTCCAATCTACTCAGCGAGACCCTGTAGACCCTGTCCTAAATACAAAAACAAACCAACTTAAATGGATTGCCCAGCAGGCCCTCAGAGAAGCTAGATCTACATACCTGTCTCATAAGCAGGACTCATACAGCTGGCTAAGGAGTTCCTGCTCTTTCCAGCCACCTCAGGCCTTCTGAGTACCAGCACTCAAGGCCATCAGGGCACAGGGATAGCACCCAGTCCAGGCTGCTTGTGCCAAGGACACCCTGGTCCTGGTCCCAGCGAGAAGTGTTCTACAGACACTGTTTTTGCCCCTAAGTCCAGAGAGATCCACTCACACACCTTGGCCGCCCAGGGGGTAGGTAGGAGGGGTCAAGCCCGCAGTAGGCTGGGCAGAATCCTCCACATAGCCAGGAGCAGAAAGTGTGTGCACTGCAGACTCAGGCTGGCTCCACCCCATAGCCATGGACATGGGCTCACCCTGGACACGCTGACTGGGGAGCCAGGCCCTGGGGCTGTACATTCTTCCTCCCTGCCCCAGCAGCCCCTCCCATAACCTCAGGGCAAGCCGTCCTCTTGCCCCACTGCAGGAACCACCAAGGGCAACAAGGGGCCTTCACCAACAGCCAACCCTCCACTTTCCCTTCCGAGCTGCCCAGGTCAGAGCTCAGCATGGTGCCATCAGCTAAAGTACATAGCTTTATTGGTGCACAGGGCAGGGCCAGGCTTGGATCAGCCTTGGTCCAGAGCCCAAGTCACACTACAGACCCAGGCTGGGGGCCACCTGGCTAAGGAACCATGATACACCAAAGATGACACTGAGGGTCTTGGGGATGTCTGGGTTGTCCACAAAGGCCTGGGCGCCATCCAGGGGCAGGTGCACAACCTCGATGAGTTCGCCCTCTTCTGCCAGGCCCCCACCTGGCCCATCTCGCTGGACCTCTGTTACTTCTGCGTAGAACATGGTCTGGCTGGAACCTGTCAGTCCCACTCCAGACCTGTAGGGTGGGATGGGCCCACTGAGTGACAAGGCGGCCCCATCACTCTTGTGCGGCCCACCTGTGTAAAGAGGACCTAGGCCATAATGAGCAGGTCTTCTGTGATTAGCTTTTGTATGCAGAGGCAGGAGGATTTTGCAGATGGGATTCAGGGCCCTGAGTTCATCCCAGGTAGGCGTGGCCTGCTCTGGCAAGTGCTCAAGGGAGACGGTTTCAAGGTCAGACATGGAGGGAGTCAGACCCTGTGGCGATGGCCTGAGATGAAGCACCTGATACATCAGAAGTCACAGGGAAGGGCCTGCAAGCAGGCAGAGCTGTGAGTGGTCCCCAGTTAACAGCCAAGAAGGAAATGGGGCCCCTGCCCCCAGGGGACCAGAGCAGCATCCTGTGGCCACTGCATGAGCGGGGAAGAGGATACCAGGCAGACGGGCGCCCTGACTGCAGCCTGGTGAGACCCTGGTAAGAAGCTGAAGCCAGGGCTGGGGAGATGGCTCAGTAGAATAAGTGCTTCCCTGACAAGCGCGAGGGCCTGAGTTCAATCCTGGTTCCGAAAGAAAAGAAAAGAAAAGAAAGAAAAGAAAAGAAAAGAAAAGAAAAGAAAAGAAAAGAAAAGAAAAGAAAAGAAAAGAAAAGGAAGGAAGGAAAAAAAGAAAGAAAGAAAGAAAGAAAGAAAAAGAAAGAAAGAAAGAAAGAAAGAAAGAAAGAAAGAAAGAAAGAAAGAAAGAGAAAGAAAGAAACTGAGGCCAATGCACACAGATCCCAAATCCACAGAAAACAGGGGTACAGCAGGCATTGCCCAAGCCCCTACCCATAGCAGGCTGCTCTGCAAGTTGCTGCTTGTGCACCCCTGCTCAGTGGACCCCAATCTGCGTGCCCACTGTGGGAAGCAGGGCACCTCAGGACTGTGTGCCAAAGAAGCCAGGCTGTGGGACAGGCCAGCTACATAGCAGCATGGCATGAACTGGCAGCTGGACCTTGGGACTGGCCCACTAGCCCCAGCTGCAGAGGATGACAGAGGGTCCCTGCCTTGATAGGCAATGGCCCAGACTGGTAATGGACAGGGACAGAAAGGGTGACTATGTGGGCATGGGGTGGCAGGAGCAGAAGGGGACCTGTCCCAAGGGGTCCAGGGTGAGAGCCCTCAGAGACATGCCTGACAAGAGGATCAGAAGATGGGTATCCAGGCCACCCCAGCTGCTTCCTTGCCCCTTCTCCATGTGCCCTTGGGTGCCATGGACAGGGAGCCCTGGGACTCTGCTACTTTTCTTGCCCATGAGACCACAGGGACAGCTGCCCCGACCTCTGCCCTGCCCATCTCCACACGATCACAGCCTTCTCTTCAAAGGGCTCAATGGGCAGGTGCTTCCCAGTGCCCCCTTGGCTCGAAGCCTTGCTTGGGGGGAACCTTGTAGCCAGGGATGCCTGTCCGTGTGCCAGACATTCCTCCTCCAGCAGCCCCTGCCTGCCCTCTCCACTGACCCAGTCCCCAGTGCAGGACCTCAGCTGGGTAGTCAGAAAATCTTTAAATACCCAGGGCAGCCCTTGGGCCTGGAAAGTCTGCCTTGGTGGGGGAAGCCCCACCAAGGAGCCCCAGTGAGGACCCTTAGAGGCTGGAGGCTGATGCAAGGGAGCCCCAGACCCAACAAGGGTGGGAATGGGAATGGCCCTGGCCTTGAAAAGGTTGTAAAGCCTGATATTCAGCTTGGCTAGGGGTGGCCCTTCTATAGAAGACCTCAGTTAGGGTCAGAGACCCGCTACAGCATCCCCAGAGTAGGGCAGGGTTACACCCCAATATCCTGTTCTGAGAGGCTGGACCCAATCGGTGGGCCCCATGGAGGCCCAGGGGGGTCACCTGGGCCTTGGTGGGGGTAGAAACCAGGCTGGGCTGCTGCTATGCCTCTCCTAAGGACAGCACTGTGACTCACCCCACCCCCAGTGCTCAGTGCTTAATCCCACAGGAAGTAGAGGCATCTGTCAGCAGCAGCTGTTACCAAGCTAGGTCCCACATGCTGGGTTACAGGGTGGGGACACAGGCAAGTGTGCCCAGGAGAAGCTCAGGACCTGGGTTCCTGGCCTGCTACTGGAAGCAGCTTAGGCTCACCCTCCCATGCCATGTTGAAACATGAGGAGCAGGGTATCCTGCTTGCACGGACAGTGGCTCACTCCCCCCATCTGTCCCACCCTGGGGCACAGCTCACCTATATGTAGCTACCCATCGCAGGTCAGAGGGGGCCAGACAGTAGCCACACTCCTCCCAGGCCTCCTTGCAGGCTACCTGCTCCAATGAGAGCCCAGGCTGGTCCACAAGGCCACTGCACAGCTCCACTGTCACCCCCACAGAGCCAGGGAGGGCTGGAAGCAGCTCCAGAGAACCATCCTGGCCCACGGCAGCCAGGGACCCCGGGAAGCAGCGCTCCACCTCGCCTGCATACACAGCTGGGTAGGGAGCACAGACAAGTGGTCACCCACATGTGACCTGTTCAGGGCTACACACCTCACCAGGCCTGTCCCTGGGGAGCCTCCCACATTTACTTTCAGACCCTTGGTTCCCCAAACCCCACCTGAGGGCCTCACCTGGCCGGAACTGCCTCACCAACACCAGGCTCCTCCGCGAAGAGTTGAACAGGAGGACAGCCACACTGTGGGACAGTGGCTCAGCAGGGGCCCTATTCACAGCTCACCCCCCAGCCAGGAAGGTTTGGCCCTCACTCAGGAAGGATGAGGCCAGCCAGACCCAGAGCTGGCCAGGGACAAAGCCAGGTTAAGCCCTAGGCCTGCCATGTTCTGGGGTGGGGGTGGGGGTGCAGATGGGGGAGTGGCAGGCAGCAGAGGCCAGTAACTGCCAGCCACTTGCCCCTGACTGCCAGCCACCCACAGCTGCACCCCAATGTGAGGGGCAAGTGCCCCAGGCTGGCCCCTCAAGCTCACAGGAGACAACTCTCAAGACTTAGTCTGCTCTTGGGACAGGAAAACCAGTGGGCTAGGCTTGAGAGGGAGATGGTAAAGACCATGAAGGAGCAGAGACAGGGCAGCAATGGAGCCCCATGCCCCAGGGTCCTCAGCAGCCAGGCCAGGCCCAGCCCTCACCTGTCATGTGTCTTCATAAAGTCCCAGGACTTCTGGACACCATTCTGAAAGAGGCAGAGTGGCGGTCAGCAAGGTCCAGCATTACCAGCATGACAGAACCCAGACAGATCAACTGCCTGTCAGAAGCTCCCCTCAGGAGCTGGGAATGCAAACCAAGTGCACTCAAGGGGTAGGCAGAGAGCCTGAGAAAGGCAAGAAGGACCCATGAGCATGGGGCTGCACAGAGATGCATGCTGGGCATGGGGAGGGGTAGCATAGCGATGGCCTCACAGACGTACAAGGGAGAGTCACAAGTGGCCAAAGCCGGGCTCAAGTGCTCACCCCTAAAGCACAATGGACCCCTGGACAAGACACATAGGCAGTAGGGTGCATCAGGCAGTCTCCCAAGTGACCCCAGCACTGGGCAGGAGCTAGCCTGAGTCACACTGCAGGGCTTGCCAAGCCCTGTCCTGGCCAGGGCTGCCCTCACACTTCCTGCAGTCACATTCCCAGTGCCCAACAGCACTCAGTGACACGAAGAGCTGAGGCATGGCTGGTCCCGTGCAGGAGCCAGGTTAACAGCAGCAGAGCTCTAGGCGCGAGGAGCAGCACCTGCCAGCGAGATGCTGCCAAGCATGCACTCAGCCCAGGATGCGCTCTACCCGGGCCCAAGTCGGCAGTCCCTCCTCCCAGGGGTCTCAGCAGATGGTGCTGGACATGGACGCTACCACAGTACACATACCCAGTCAGCATGACCACCTTGCCACTCAGAAATCGCCCCTGAGGAGGCCACACTGAGTGGGGAAGGAAGTCCGGGCAGAAGTCTGCTGGGCAGCTTGGCCAGAGGCAGAGGCATTCTGGTTTCCGCGGTAGGGGCAATGACCTGCCAGGTCCAGCTGTCTGAGAGGCCGTTGCAGCACCGCCCTGAGAGGCAAGCCTGGGCCTGCCTGATGTCTTGCCACCCAGGGGGCCGCCACCCACCGGGCCACTCCAGGAGAGGCTCTTGAATCCTACCTGAATAGGCTGGGCCTGCCCCAGGTCATGGTTGCCCAGGTAGGGCTCAGGGACCCTCTCAGCTCAAGACCAAAACTTTGTCAGACACAGGAAAAGAGCTCAAGAGGCCCACAGAGGCCTTGGGGAGGCAGGGCAGGCCACAGTGCACCCCCTTTGTGCTGCTCAAGGCTACACAGGTCCCCTGCTCTTGTCCCACATGCCCATGACCAGGCCTCCCAATGCCAGGTACACAAGCAACCAAGGGCTGCAGTTTCACCCAGTGGCAAACCCTGTCCCTCCCAATGTCCCTGGTAGCTGTTGGGAGGCAGAAGAAGCAGTGGCCCCACTCCCACAGGTCCCTGCCCGACTCACCTGCCCACTTGCCCACTGGCACCAACCATCCCGTGCTGCCAGCTTTCTGTACCTGGCCCAGCAGAGTCGACCCTCATCCCCACCCTGGTCCCCTAGTTGATCTCCTCCACTCCCCTGGGCTCTCACTGCCCTCAGTGCCCCGTCCTCTGCAGTACCAATAGGGCTGTGCAATGAAAGCAGGCATAAAGGCCTCACTGGGGCCTAGACGTGATGGGCAGGATGGGTTTCTCCCAGGGCAGGCAGGATCCCCGGAGCCTGGACTACCTGGGGTTCAGGGGCTACGCCTACAGGCAGGATGGAGGTTCTCTGAGCGGTCTGGAAGAAGGAGCTGCAGGAAGGCGGCATCTAGCGGGCGGCCCAGACAAGGGCAGGCGTAGGGAAGGTGGCCAGGGCGCAAGATACAGCATTTCCGGGAGTCTACTGCGTGCCCAGTGCTGAGTCGAGCAGCTGTACCCCAAGGTTGTCCCTGGGTGGTCCTGCGCAGTGCAGTGACCGCACCTCCCAGAAGAGGGGCCTCCTGGGCCTCTTCCCTGTCCACCAACTACCCTGGCTCCATGTCTGAGCAGGTGGGCTACCACTTCCACCAGCGAGTCCAAATGAAAGGAGGGAAGGGTGGGCCCGAAACAAACCGAGACCAGAGACTCTCCCTCAAGGTAGGATTGCCCCTGTAACCTCCCTGCCCCACCACAGACCCCACAGTCTGGGAACCCGCAACAGGGGACGGAGGCGGGACTCGGGGGAGGGGCCTGCAGCGCGGGCGGCGCAAGCACCCCGCGAACGTGCAGGAGGGGCGGGGTTCGCAGGCGGGCCAGGCGCGCGGCCCGGCGCTCACCTGGCGGTAGTGCAGCCGGAGCGGCCGCAGGAACCCCGAGCCCGAGCAGGGGCCTACGGCCGCGCCCTCGATGCGCTCCATGGCGGCGGGGCGGGCCGAGCAGAGCGGACTGCGCGTGCGTGCCCGCGGCCTGGGCATGCGTGCGAGCGCGGGGCGGGCGCGGTGGGGCCGGGCCTCCTCGGGCTCGGGCTGCGCCTCCCGAGCTGGGCGGGTGGAGGGGTCGCGCTGCCCGCCCGCGCGCGGGGCCGCTAGTGGCCGGGCTCCTGGGGCGGCCCCGGGCTGCTCGGGTCGCCGGGCTCGGGCGGGGGCAGGCCGGGGGTGTGCAGTGTGGTGGAGGCGTTTGTCCCTGCCGCTTGGCCTCGCGATGCCGCCCACCAGTGCGGAGGAGCCGGCTGTCCCTCGCGGGAGAGCTGCTCCCCATCCTGCCACCTCCGGGCCCGCCATAGCTGCTGCTCTGCCTGTGGCGGCCTAGAATCCGCCTTGAGTCACTTCTGCCTTATTACAGCGACCTTGAGTGACCTTGACTCACTTCTGCCTTCTTTCAGCGTCCCAGAGCTCGGTGACCCGAAGGCTGTGGTGAGCGTCCCTCCTGGCAGCTGGTGGCCAGCCAGCCACGCAGCCCTGCTGGGTGTCGCTGTTGTGACAGTGGGGCTGGCTGACTAACCCGGGAGGGCCCTCAAGGTGGCTGTGCGCCCACTGTGGCCTGCAGGTGGGCCCTGGAGCAGCGGGGCTGGCCTGTTCGCTGCGCACAGCCCCCTGCAGACTGCCTTGGGCTGTGCTGGTTCTCTCCGCAGCCTGCAATCTTATGGCCCAGCCCTGTAGTTCTCATAGGTCAGAAGCTAGGTCTTTTGGATAAGCAGGACCAATATAGTGAAAACCTTTATATAGGTTTAGTGTAATGCCAATCAAAATACCAATAGCAGGGCCAGGCCGGGGAGATGGCTCAGTGGAATAAGCGCATCCCTGGCAAGCGCAAGGGCCTGAGTTCAATCCCTGGTTCAAAAAAAAAAAAGCATACCTCACAGAACTAGAGCAAACAATCCTAAAATTCATTTGGAACCAAAAGAGACCTAGAATAGCAAGAGCAGTTGTGAGCAACAAAGACAAGGCAGAAGGCTTCACAAGCTCCGACCTAAAATTATGCTGCAAAGTTACTGTGATAAAAGCAGCATATTCCTAACAACAAAAAAGCTAGAACTATATCACAGGCCAGAGGGTCAGTGGACAGAAGGTGCAGAAGCAGCCCCAAACACATCCAGCCACTTCATCTCTGACAAGGGTCAGACACCTGCACTGGAAGAAAGGCTTTTTAGTCACTGGTGCTGGAGAAACTGGTTCTCCACATGCTACAGATTAACCCTACACTCATGACTCTCACTGTGTACTAAGCTAAAACTGAAATGGATCAAAGATCTAAGTATTTAATGTAATCCCCTTCTTGTATCTTCCCAAAATAATTAAAAGCATCACATCACAGCAATATCGTCACACCCATGATGACAGCAGCAGTTTGTAACAGCTAAATCTTGGAAGCCGCCCAAATGCCCATCAACAGATGAACAGATAAAGAAAATATGGTGTTAGTTGGATGTGGGGTGCAAGCCTGTAATCCCAGCACTTGAGAGGCTGAGGCAGAAAGATTACTGTGAGTTTGAGGCCAGGCTGGGGAACCCAGTGAGCTCAAAACCAGCCTTAATTATATAGTGAGACACTATCTCAAAAAAAAAGTTTATATACAATGGAGAACTACTCTGCCATAAAGAAGGGTAAATGTGAGACATTTTTAGGTAAATGGGTGCACCTTGAGACCATACTTTTAGGTGAAACAAATCAGAGAGAGAGAGATGTTTATTGTTTGTTTTTATTGTGAGAGAAACCAAAAGCATAAATAAGGGCCAAAGTGGACGACAGATTCTGGGAAATAGGAAGAAAATGTTCAAGTAGGAAGGGGTACAACAGAGGGGGGTGAGGGAAGGGAAGGAAGAAAAAGAATAAAAGGAAAAATGAAAACACAGCTTTCGTAAATAAGGAGGGGAAGAAGGACTGAAAGGGGGAAAGCATGGGAAAAAGGAATCAAGATATGTTCTGTATAGGGCCTGGGGAGATAGCTCAGTGGAATAAGCACTTCCCTGGCAAGCGCAAGGGCCTGAGTTCAATCCCTGGTTCCGCAAAAAAAAAAAAAAGATATGTTCTGTATAGGTGCAGATTCCCTGTGATGAATGTGATCATTATGTGTATCAAGAATATCAATAAAAAAAATAATAATAATAATAAATAAAAAATATCTGTAAAATTCATTTAAAAATAAACTGAGTCCTGAGCTCCCACAGCTCCAAGGCAGAAGATGGCACAAGCTGGGACACGTGACGCACGTGGCCGGCTGCCACTCCCAGCAGCTGCAGGCAGCTGTGCTTCTGAGCTTTGAACTGGTCAACCAGTGGCCAGAGAAAGCACCCACACACTGGTCCCCCAACAGGTGGGTGGGTCTCTTTCTCCTGCACCCAGGGCTGTTCTTGGGGTCCCTCCTTCTTGGCTGTGTGGATAATGAGGGTGACTCATAGCTCTCAATGACAGCAGTAGAGCAACAGAAATGGGGACAGGAGGCCTCGGCTTGGGGGCTGGGTACCCCCGCTCCAGCCCCTGCTCTTCTGCCTGCTTGAGTCTGCAAGCAGGAAGCCCCCAAACAACAATCTGGAAGAAGCTGGTGCTCCACTGCCCCTGTCATCTTCCTGTCAGGGGAAGCAGCTTATTCAATTAGGACAACCCCAGGCAGCTTCCTTGTGGCTTGAGGGGACACTGGTTCCCCTCTGTAGGGAGCAGGGCTCTCCACTGAGTGTTGGCTGTGCACATGAGTGCCTTGGTCCCCCAGGAGTGATGGTGTGAAGAGACCCCAGGGGCCTAGTGGCCTGGGCCAGGGGAGTGCCTCAGAGACCCTGCTGAGTTCAGGGACTGAGACAGTACATGAGGGGGACAGAGGGCCCCTTGTCAGTCCCCTGTAGCTGCCAGCTACAAGACAAATCTCCACACACCCTAGATTAAAGCCTCACTATCCCAAAGAGCCGGACTCTAGTACTCACTGTCAGCAGGTGCAAGCCCCCAGAGCTCAGGAAGGGCCACCTTCACCTTCTTAGCTACTAGGATGCCAGACGGCCGGTGTGTCCCACCCTCACAGCAGTGGTCATATCCATTCTATTATGGCTTCTGTCCCTCCTGCCTCCTTCTTGGGACATGTGGGATACACTTAGGACCCCTGAAAGTCCAGGGCATCTCCAATTTCAGGGTCCAAAGTCACATCCCACTGTGCCCTTCGCCATGTGAGGTCCTAGAGCTATAGGCTACAGGGCTAAGGACTGGGACACCCATGATTTCTGCACACAACAGGAGGTTGTACCATGCCCAGGACAGTGTCCTGTGTCCTGAGGGTCTGTGGACATTGAGGAGCTTCCTTTCTCTGTAAAGGGTGGGCCAAGGACTGGAGGGCTCTGGTGAGCAGTGCCCCTGGTGGCACCGGCTGGAGGATGGATGCTCTTGGGTGGTGTCTGGTGGCCTAGCTGCAGAGGTGAATGTTGGGTCCCTCCAGGGCTCAGGCTTCCAGTGGGGAAACTCAGGCTGGGTCTGGAGCAACGCCCAAGGAGCTGCTGGCATGAGAACCCCAGGGTTATTAGATGTCGGGGTTGGGGACCAGGTGATTCTAGGGGCACAGTGCCCTCTACATGGATATCTGGTAGGTGCCACCCTGCAGTTTTGGCTCCGAGAGGCCCACCCCCTAATCCATGTGCCTGATGTGAAGTAGACACCCCAGAGCAGCATCTTCAGTCACCCCCAGTACCTCCAGTATGCCACTGATGGCTGTGTCCATGGCATAGCCACCTGCAGACCCCCACCTCGAGCTCTTGCTTGAGCCCTGGGGTCTGTCTGCCAGGGTTGTCTAGATGTGCAGGAAAGACACAGACCCCATGATAGGGACAGCAGTGGACTGGGTTAAGAGAGGGAAACCTCTCCAGCACTGGCATGGTCACTGTGCACAGTCCACTTCCACTTGTTCCCCCCTTTTAAGACAGGGTATTGTTATGCAGTTGAGGCTGGCCTTGGACTCATTATGTAGCCCAGACTGGCCTTGAACTCATAGGGATCTTCCTGCCTCAGCCTCCTGAGATCACAGGCATGCACTGTCCCACCAACTCAGCCCTTTGGAGGCTCCAGGTAGCACCTTGCCTGTCCAGTGTGTTGAGAGGCACACACTCTGCTGTGGTCTGTGCTGTGGCTGGTTAGGCTTCAGGAGCAAGCTGAAGTAGGAGAGGACATCTAGGATCAGGAAGCAAATGCAGTCACATTGGACAGCAGCCAGCTATGGAGGAGTTTTTAATGTTTCTGTCTGCTTTTACATATGTCCGAATTTTTTTTCTGGATGGACTTTCAAAAGAGGCTCAATTGTTTGGAGGGGGCCATCATTATCACCCCCATCGCTTGGCCACAATTAGCTACTGCACCCTGGCTGGAACCTGGCTGGATTCAACCTGAGCTGAGTACAAAGGATATAGGAGAATGGTGTGCCTCCCAGGTTCCTGGCTTGAGCCACAGAGGAGGACACCATAAGGACAGATGTGGTTTGTCTCTGCGGATGTGGAGGCAGGGGCTTCTGTGTAGGGCCTGAGGCACCCTAGCGAACACAAGACATCCACATACAGAGAAGTGAAGCTGGATTTTTCCAGATAGCAAACAAAAATTAACTCAAAACACATCGAAGACCCAGAATAAGAGCTGAGCTGTAAAACTTAGAAAAAATAGGCAAAAGTTTCATGACACTGGATTTGGCAGTGATTTCTTAGATACGGCACCAAAAGTACAAACAACTAAGACAGCAACTAGACTTTATCCAATTTAAAACTTCCATGCAGCAAAAGAATGAAGCATCTGTGGATGGTGGATTGAAAAGGTGGTTTTCCCATCCGTGGAGTAGTACTCAGCCTGAAAAAGGAAGAAAATTGTTGGGTGTGGCATCTTGTGCATGCATAACCGTAACCCCAGCTACTCAAGAAGCTGAGACAGCAAGTTCAAACCTGACCTGGGCAACATCTCAAGACTCTGTCTCAACAAATAAGGAACTATGACATGCTACAAGG